AGTTCGTTTGACTAGACGTGAACAGGAGACGTTCAGAAATAGAATCAGGACCAGGAAATGTTAATATAAAGCGGCATGCAAGATTTACAGGCGGTTTTTTGCGCTTTTGCGGGAAATCGAACATATTTTTATGCTCATGTAAAAATTCTCTGAAAACGTCTGGAAACGGGGGACCTAATTCTTGCATTCTGTGAAAACGGGTAAGATTGGCTATAATGTAATTATCTTAATCTTCACTATCGTTACTTTTTGCCCACAAATATAAAACCCAGAGAAGTGGGTCCTTGTAGCTAGTTATATGTATATATATATATATATACTAGCAGATGAGCCTGGTGTTGCTTGGGCAAAAAATAACAACAGCAAAAAGATTAAGATTATTAGATTATTTTGTACTTCTAACCATTCTACCAACATTATATTATATTATAGTATTTGATTTATATTTATAAAGGTTATCTTTCATAAGAGTATTACACAAAGTGCCCAATCTAACACATTTTAAAATTGTGTACAGTAGAATTTTTAAAATGTGTTATGTTGGTCACTCAATGCAATAAACCTTATGTAAGATAACCTTTGTAATTATATAAATCAAATAGTATAATATAACAAACATTAAAATGAAAACCACAAAGAGTCTGGTTATTTCAGCCTATCATTCTCATGTTTATCGTGATACCAAATGGTATGAAATGGCACAAGTTCATTGGTCAAGTAGACATGAAATGAAAATACAATATATTAAATTTTTTAAAATATCATATTTTTACCTGATTTAACTCTAAGAAACTGTACCATTCACAGCCAAATATCAACTGCTAATCTGCCAAAAATCAAATTTCACAAAAAACAGACCAAATATTTAAGCATGACACCCTCAAAAACCACTTAAAATATATTATTTTGTGCAGGCTGGTAACCTGTTAATATGTAATTTTCTATTCAAATGTCACTATACTGCTGGTCCAATAGAAAGAAGGACCTGTTGTGGAAGGGGGTCAAATTACTTTGACCAAAAATAGTCAGTTGTTGACCTCCTCCTGGAAGAAAGATTGTCAATGACTACTAATTAATACCAGTCTACTATTAATATTTGAAAAGTGATCCATGATGGATAGGCATGTGATCGAAGTTGCTAACCTTAATGTCTGAAAGGCTTCGTATGACTTGTTTAAATAAAAAAATCTTGTAAAAATAATAGAATAATTGCTTTTATGTGATAATAGTGTTTATATTTTTGCAACAGATTATATGAATTATGTGGGAAGTATATTCTCATAAATATTGCATTTATGGAAAAATTATTGGGCTGCAATTTGAAAAAATTGTAGATCTATAAATTATGAGTCATACGCCTGTCTGTAAGTCTTCCTGTCCTTCCTTAATCTCAAGAAAGATGTTAGTGAGATGAAAGTCGAGACCAGATATGAAAAGCTTAGTGGCAGGTGTCCCAGATTAACTATATATGAACTTCTGGTTTGGACTGAAAGTCATGTTACTTCAATTCAAAATTTTCCCCTGAACAGAGTTAGATAGATGATCGACATGACTCCATTGCTAACAGGAAAAGTATGATGTACAGGAACAAGACACTAAAAGAATTGAGAGCATTGTGATAAAAAATTGCAGCCTAGCATTGTGACAATGTCACAATAAATAATCGCATGTTAGGATTAGTTTGGTTTTTTTGGTTATGGCAACGCGACACGTAAGCAATCTGCCTGGGGGATGCATCCCATGAAGACTTTTACAGGAAGCTGGATCCTATTTAGGTGTTACTAACGTGAAGAAAACCCAGAAAACTCCACATGGTCTGTCTGTTGGCAATTCCTGAACTCAAGACTGACTTCCAGTGTTCAATGGTTTTATCCACTTGGCTACTGGAGGTCACTTTAGAATTAAGATAGTATCATTCAAAAATGAAAGAACCTGAGTTGTTAGATATGGAAAATTAAATACAGTAGAGCATTGATTATCCGACTCAATTGGGGACTCAGGTTGGTCAGATAACTGAAAAAATCGGATAACCGAAAAGAATAAAAAATACATTATTAGTATAGTATATTAGTATATCCCATGTAATTAGTATATCGCTATTAACCAACTTTGCATTGAATTTTCATCGATGTTAAACCTAACAATTTTTTTTTAAAATAATAATCATCACTATTGTATCGTTAAAAATTATTTTTAAATTATTTTATTGCTCACAAAACAAACCACTCATAATTAGAAATTAAGTCTCGTTTAAATACTGGCCTCCTTTCAATGGTCGAGCCATAGTTGCCAGCTAAAACACGCAAAAATTTAACAAAAATAATATTAAAGTAGCCAAGACATAGCCAACTATCATAGCGCCACATCACTAGCGGACATTTGAAATTTGCCAACTAGAACAGTCAGTTAACCGATGTGACGGTTAATCGGGGATCAGATAATCGATGCTCTACTGTATTTATATACTTTTCACAAGGTAACATTTTTGATTCCACGCAGGCAAGTGCTATATGCTACTTATCTCAGTAATAATATAGCATGTCTTTTTCATTGCAGTAATTAAGTGAATATAATATATATTTTTTAAAATTATACCTTTTTTTTTATAAGAATTATATTTAGTTTATTATTTTGTTAAATTTTTGCCAATAGATGGTACTAAGTGTAAAGTCAGCAAATTGAATGTAGATATAAATTGATTTACAGAAATCCATTGGGGTAGGATGTACAACATTATCTAAGTTAGAAGTATTAAACATAACTGCCAAGTTTCATAGAAATTGGTTGAACAAACAAACAAACAAACAAACAAAAACACAGTAAATTAATCTTTTTGGTAAGTTTTATTAATGCTGAACATACATTTCAAGTTTGAGAAAGTGCAATTTTTTGCTTATTTATGTAAAAGATCAAAGGAAAAGTAATATAACTAAGTTATTTTTTAAGAGATAAAAAAAAATAACAATCAAATGAAAACTACCTACTTATTATGTAGTTTAGTCATCTATATACTCGTATATAAAAGAACAAGTCCTGATAGGATAATTAACATAGAGCCAAAACTACTGGTGCAAGAAACTTAAAAATTTGAGGGTGTGTTCTTTTTGTAAAGTTTAGGCATTCTAAGAAAATATTTTACGAAATTCAACCCTAAAGGGGTGAAAAGAGTAAAAAGTTTGTATGAAAATTTTTACTGCGTAGACACATTAGATCGAAACATAGGTCATAAAATATGAAAATAATAATAATTAATTATCTGTAAAACGTTTTATGAAATCATCCCTTATTATAAACTTGAAAATTAAATTAACATTTTTGTTTCATTGTACAAAATTATTTATCATAACCGAAGTTCCAGATAGCTTGGTAGCCTGAATGGTCCCAGACTTTCACCCGTGCATACTAAGTGACTTTCATTACAAGCATTTAGCTTTCCGAAATATATGACAACAATTATTTGGCATTGATGGTTGCGAATTTTGCGCCAATAAGGTGCCTCGACTTGTTTGATTATGTTATCAACTCAATTTCATATTTATTTTCACATTTTCACTTTGCGGTCCTTCTCTGTTCTTTTTCTGTTATTTACATATGTAGGTCATTTCATTGTTATCCACATTTGATATCATCACTTATCACATACTGCCATGACACTCATGTCTGTCCACTACAACTGTCAAGAATTAATGCAATTGGCGAAGTATAGTGACAGAGGGCCAATAGAGAGCAGGGTGCGCAATCTTTGCCATAATGCGGTTTGCATGCCAATTTTCGTAGTGTGTTAATCAAGCCAAATAGTTTGGTCGAATATTCAGCTATTCGGCCATGCTGCCAGCTGAATATTTGGCATTCGGCCAGGCCGAATATACTATTTGTTGCATCACTAATATATATATATAATTAATTTACTTCATATATCATTGTAGCTGTACACCATGTTTGTTTTTGTATATAGTTGTATATAGCAAAGGAACTCCGTTTCTTACTTTTGTTTTCAACCTTTTATGTCACATGACACAAACCTTGCCGTTTGTGGATCCTGATTGGTCAGAATACCAAAAACAAAAAGAAAGGGTCCTGCACAAGGGGGACCAGGAGAACAGGAATTAAGGAGAGTCAGTTTTAGGTGATGAGAGAAGAGGTCTAATCAGGAAGACCAAGGGGGTTGAGAAGTAACCAGGACTCTGAACCTAGAAGGATAGGATAGCAGAGATAGACAGTGTAGACCATGTGTGAACAGTGACATTGTGCTAAGTGGTATAATTGTACAGAACTAAGTAAGTGAGCCCTTCCATTCAAGCCCAAGAAAACCTTCCTCAATAATATTTAATGATAACTGGTTATTATTACCTCGGATGTAAACAGATTGAGCATCTACCATCATATGGCGATAATCGTCCCATGTTATTTCATTATCAGGACTCCAATCTAAGCTCTTTAACCATTCTTCATTCTTCTATCTCTATGTAGTTCGTAAGTACAGTAGTGATAGTTTTAGTTTTAAACTGAATTGTGTTATAACTAGCTGTAAGCTGAATTGTGTTATAAAGAGTTGTTGTGGGAAGATCGAGCGAGAGCAGAGAATCAGTGTAAATAAAATTTTGTTTATCTGTAATGGGCAGTCTATTTGATTAATAAATGCAATTCAACCAGTATTCAACTTGTCTTATTTCTAACACATTTCACATCTTTTTACATCATAACTACAATATAAATCTAAATATATTAATTCAACAATATTTAAATAAAAACATATAGTTACTATTTACATACTTATTATATTATTACATTTAATAATAAAAAATTGTTAAATGTGAAGATAAAAATGAGGCTAAACTTTTATAAGTGAGTGAGATTAAAATCTTTGTAATATTCAACATTGTAAATGTTAAATGAAACCTGGTAATCAGAATTTTAATGTTAAATTAATCTAAGAATCAAAATTGAAGTATGAAGAAAATACTTTTTAATAGTTTAATGCCCATCTTCTTTAATAAAGTCTAAAAGTAGTTTGAATTGTATTTTTATTTGTTTAATCTGTGGTGCTTCAATAAAGCAGAATTTTTGTCCAAGTTGTTAACTTGTTGTTCTTGAATAATTATTAAGCTAATTCAAGTTTGCAACTTAGTTTATATATAAAGAAAACATTTCTGAAAAAGATTTTTCTAATTACCTCATGCTCTTCTAAAGGTTTTTCATTTAGTGCAAACATTCCAAGTCTCTTTTCTAAATTTTGTTTAGCAAAAGTCATCCATTTTTGTTCTTTTTGAATCTTATCTAAAAATTCTGTTAATTCTTGAAGATAATTTTCAAGAAGCTGTTTTTGTTCTGGTAACTGCGTTGCAACCTGAATATTATCCAAAAAATTTTATATAATTATTATAAATATGGAAAATTTTAATTAATAGTTTTATATATAGTTAACTTTATAATTAAGTTATTATAAATAAAATTTCAACATAAATCAATATCAATATGTCATATCAACATTAATGTGAGAATCTGATTGTAAGATTAATTTAATTTTTCTAAATTTAAAACTCAATGTAATATTTCATCATTAAATTCTATATTTTTTCCATGTTTTTATGATAAAAGTAGATATAAACAAGGAAATTCAACTTCCTTTTTAATTCAATCTACTTCCCAAAAGAGATGTCATCATTTCCCAAGACAAACTTGAGCAAAAAGACTCAATGTCAGATGACCACAGTCTGAACTCCTCATTGGAGTAAATTTCTCAATATAAAGGTTTCGTGCCTAATTCTAGGTGAATTTGGCCATTCCAGCCAGTTCTCCAAATCTTATGTTGTGTCTCATTGCCTCACCACTAATTCTGACTTCTGCCTTTCATAAGAATCAAGAAAGAAAGAAAAGATCGTTGATTATTTTAAGAGGTATTATATCAATTTTATGTAAGCTCTCTCTCTCAGTATTTAGAGGTGTAAATAGTTTAGTGATAGATATAATGATAGATTATTCCTTTGTATATTTTTTATTATTTCATTAAACTTTAGTTGTTATGTGTAAACCTGTATGTTCATTTAGTTGAATATGAATCTGGACACCTATCGACTTAACCACAACCTCCATTTCCCTCAATCTTTAAATAGCCCTCCTCTTAGAAAGAAACTATTATCATGAGTTAGGATGCGATATTAAATAAATTTAATCCTAACTGGTGTCAGGAATCCTGACAGGAGATGACACTTTTACAATCATCTTGTCTCCAAATTCTCAAATTAGTATATTAAGACCATCCACTGACAAAGTGAGTGTGACTTATCATTCTGTCGTCAGAAAGTGGGTGTAGAGTAATATATTCTTACCCCTGATTTCTCACATTAATATCAATATTTATCATGTAAAATTTTAAGATTAGCCTTAACTTTATAAAAGCCTATAAAACTTATAAAAATTATATTTTGAAGTTTATGATAACTAATGGTATATGAAATAAATATTTTGATACACTACTTTAATTTCATAACTTTTATACATGACAATTAATATAAATATAATATAACAATATACTTATAATATAATGATAAATAATTACTGAAATTTTTAATAAATAACAATTACTGTTAAAAGTTTTTTTTATATATATAAACTATTATTATGTTGGGTTTAGTGGGTAATACTCAGTTTAAACCGGTGGCTATGTACTATGCCGGACCAGTCAAGGCATAGCAACCAAAACAAAACTAAAATTAAATGTGTGTGTCAGTATCAGTGTCTGTATTCAGAAATTTCCTAACAATATGGCATGTATTCAATATAGTGGCCTTCTGTAGTGTGATGTATGTATTTCTACTCAATTGTAATGTTCCCAGGCTTTTGTGTAG